ATCAAGCACGTTGTGGTTAATAGCTCGACAATCTATACAAAATAATACGGAAATGAAAAAGTTGTTATCAAGCAACTGTCAACTAATTTATACAATATTACAGAATCAAGCACGTTGTGGTTAATAGCTCGACAATCTATACAAAATAATACAGAAATAAACAAGTTGTTATCAATCAACTGTCAACTAATTTATACAGTATTACAGAATCAAGCACGTTGTGGTTAATAGCTCGACAATCTGTACAAAATAATACAGAAATAAACAAGTTGTTATCAATCAACTGTTAACTAATTTATACAGTATTACAGAATCAAGCACGTTGTGGTTAATAGCTCAACAATCTATACAAAATAATACAGAAATAAACAAGTTGTTATCAACATTCAACTGACAACCTATTACGGAATGATACGTAATCAAGCAACGCGTGAGACAATTTGAAATCCTATTATTAAATTATAAGCACTGATCATTGACTTAATAAACAAAGAGTGTACCGAATCAGACAACAATTTATTTACAAACCATTACAGAATGACACAGTTACATTAATACAGTTCAGTTTCTTGGCACCCTGAAACATACAGAATTAAGAAAGCTCTTGGTACATCTTTTGCAACCCTTAATTGCAAAATCATGAATTTATAGTAAACAGAGATTTCTCGACTATTTCGCAACGCCTGTCCAATCTTACGTTTTTACTGTAAACATGTTTATTATTTGTAAAAAACTGACAACATATAAAACTTATCATTAAGTTGATAGCTGGAAAATGACAATTGTCATTATAAGTGAGCTAATTTGTCTCTCTAAACACTTTGAGTTGTACCTGGTTAGTATATAAACAAAAACACCTTAAACATTTTAAGTAATATCCAACAATACCACAATTTGCGTGTTTAAAACTTATGCCGTAGTAAACCGTAAAATTTCAAAAATCGGTTATGATTTACGTTTGCTTATACCGGAACCAAAAAACAACAACAACTAAAAACAAGAAAAAACACCTACATAATTACAATGTTATAATTTCTCTCTGTTGGTAACTTAGGTAACAATATATTATTTAAGAATACCAATACCACATTTCTTTACGTAACTGTTTGCTACATACGTGTTTTAGAGCGTTAATAAAGACGCTAAAATAATTCAGTTCATATTCTTACACTACAAATCTTCTCCGAAATTAAAGTTGATTTCTATTTCCACCACTTCTATTATTTGATTCCCCAAAAAGAATAATTTTCTTCTTTTTAATGTTCTCAACAAAAAATTTCAATCCTTTTTACAGCTTATATTCCTGCACTTTTCTAAGCCAGCAGTGATGCTAGTTTATTTATATACCTCAAGCCAAAAAAGGGAAAGCCGGAAATGAATTTCGTCATTATCAAGACACATGGAAATGTGATATCTCGCAAAGTTCTTTCATGTGTTAAATTCACCAGAAATTCATAGTTTTATCTTGATAATAACTATTCGAACTTCAGCTGATGATATATATATTATATATATAAACAATCTATCCTGGCAACAACACATTTTACTAAGCTACAAATATCGAAACCACAAATTTGCAAAGATCAAAGAATTTACTCAATGTAAAATACTTTTCATCTAAACGGCACTTTATATGCGCGTGAGCTAAACTGCCAGATCAGAGATCCCTAAGGTTTATGTACAGCCTTTCCTCATTTTGAATAGCTTATCACAGGGAAGGCAACCAGTCAGCAGTACCTGCCACCTACACGGCTAATCTTAACCGAATAACGGTATTGACTGTCACATTTGTAACGTCCCCATGACTAAAAGTACGAGACATGTTCAGCATCACAACACAAATATTTGGCTTTCCGATACGCAGCCTGGAACGCTAACC